AATAATCATACATGGCACTTCCATACCATCAATATTTTTGCTTGACTGCAAGAATTATTAATAAAGTAATTGGAACATATTCCTTACAATTGTTCAACATTAAATAAATTTATTCGCATTTTCGATCCGGAACATGTATGGGAACAAACTTTCACCCGATATCCATGAAAAATAGACTACTTCAATAAGTTGAATGTTTTTCATACCTGTGGAATTAGTGTATGTACATTTTTATACAAATTAGAGTCTTTGAACACAGCAGCGTCGTGAGTATTCCCTGGATGTCGGATGCAAATATCTCTAAATCTATAAATGTAAAATATGAATAACATTAATGGTTTATAAACATGATTACATAAAAATAGTATGTATTGCTTGCATACCTGCATTTGTCATCAACAACTGCTTGGAGATTGTATGAAGGCCAGCCCTTTCGATTCACATAATCTCTATAGCCGTCAGCAGGAGCCAGAATCGGTATGTGCGATCCGTCAATGCAACCAATAATTTGGGGTATGTGACATCTCTTTTCAAAATTATTTGCTATTTCAACAGCTTCGAATTCGTTCGGCATATGTAAGTAATCTACCATCATCACGTTATTGATGGCATTCACAACTTTATATAAACATTTCTTCACCGTAGATTTGTGGATACCAAAAATATTTCCGACTACTCGATACTCTGCACAACTTGCCAATTTGTATAAAGCAATAGCCACTTGTTTTTGCACCGAGAGTGGTTCTCTGGACTTTAAAAAAATAGGTTTCGGTTCTAATTCTTTTTTAAGAATATCACATAATTTATTAAATGTATCTTTGCGCATTCTAAAACTTTCAAGCCACTGTGCATCATCATATGTATTCAAAACGATGTCATCCCAAAAGTGATAACTTCTACGTTTCATCCAAAGACGTCTATTCGAGACAAAGCAGAATTCCGCAAGATTCATAGGTGGTAGCAACATTTGATGTACATTCATAATCAGATCCCGGGATCTTTTAATTTGCGAATAAATTCTTTTCCATACTTGCTGTCTTCTGTGTATAATTTTCAATAATCTTGCAGTTTGTCGTTTGTTATTTCCGATTACCATCATTTGTATCATATTTTTAAAACGTCCTGTGTACTGTAACGAATTCATTCTGATGAAAATTAATCAAACATATTGCTTCAGCAAACACAGCAAACAGACACGATCGACACGAAACAAAGTTTTTTTCTTCCAGTTTACCCTTTTGTAGAAACACCTTTCAACCGTTAGGTTATATGAGCGTGATATTTCGAAAAATTTGTTAAAATTTGTGCTTAATCTTGATTAAACACTGAATCCAATACTAGGGCGCTTAAACTCCTTCAAACGCTAAATTTTTGAAATTTTCCTTAACGGAAAAATATGCGGGACGAGGGCCGGGATCGAACCAAGGACCCTACCATTCAATTCATTACCAACCATTACTAATCACTCGTGTTAGCACAGAGCTACACGTCATCCCACGAAACAAAGTACAAACGATATTGCTTATGTATGAAGATGGCTATGAGGACTAAATTTTTACCTATATTCGACCCAAAAGTATCATAGGTCTACATGGTGTAAACGTTTTGTTTAGAAGCCTATTTTAGGACAGGGCATAGGTCAGGTCGCGATCAGGTCGCACGGTGTAAACTAGG